TTATACTGATTCTTTTGTGCAGCTGACTGTGAAACGTGTGTGTTTGTGGTCCAGTGCAACATCACTGGTTTCTTGCATCAGTGAAATTTCCATTTTTCTGCCAAGGATAATTTGCTTTAAATTGGAACTGTAATCGATAAAACCAAACAATGGAAAATTAGAACCATTTATTTTATATTATGCCTTTGTCCATCCAACGTAGATGTTTACGCTCTAAATCCCAGCAGACCAGCTGTACTGTATGCACTCTCTGATACAACAGACTTGCAGTTATTGCTCAATATGAGGTTACACCCACCGCAGTGATTTCTAACTGGCATCTGACAGAGTTTTCGGACTGATGATTTCCAGCCAAATGGCATCTTTGCATTGGCAGCCCACAGATCTGTGAGTAGCATCTGCTGTCACACACTGCATGGTGTGATGACGTTGATGTTGTGTTGGTCACGTAATCATTCATAAAGGAGGGTTGTACAACATCTAGTGATGAAGATAAATGTTATAGTTGATCGTCTCTCAAGTCACCATCACGGTCCAAAGTTTGTTGGAGAACATATAGATGACTTTAAATATTATTATTATTATAACACAAGAGGTTATTCAGTTTGTTCATTTACGGTTCTAAAAAAATCATGCCTCTGTAGGCCCAAAGAGAGAACAGGCAATTGATTGTTCAGATGTACCAGAGACAATATGGATTAAAAAATAACTTGGAAATGTATTTTATATTCTACAAGAGAAGATGTTGTGGAATTACGATGATTGAATTAAACTATGAAAAATGTGAATTTCCATGACATTGTTGGAGCAGAGCAGCCCCAGATTTGGAGGGAACTCAGTACTTTGTAGGACTGACTGTAATATTCAGCCTTTCTAGTTGTTTTTATATACTTATACCAGTACCAGATCAGACACTACCTGTAAGTATTTTTTTGACTAGGCTTTGTCACAGCATTGGCCTCTGATAACCTTATCCCAAAACATGTTGTTTGGACTGTGGAAGGAAACCGGGGAAAACACACGTGGAGAGAACACGACAGCTTCTTGCAGGAGGACCATCTGTTTCATGCTGTACCTTTAAATACATTTTACCCATTACTTGCTAACTGTCACATACATGGGTACGTCAGTCAACATCTGGATATATATGCTGAACAGACACCTGTATACGGTGCTGCTGAGGTCTTATATGACTGTTCCTCATCAACAGACTTCACTCAGCTGTTTGCTCACACAGGCTGTTACAGCATGTCTGTGTTGTTCCGTCCACTGCTCTGAGAGATGATGTCAAGGAGAACACGTCCCTGGAGTTCAGGTCTGGAAACCAGCCTGCTGGACCTGCGTGAGCATCTAATCTGCCAAAATGGGAAGAAGTTCCTTAGTCTTCCTGGAAGTGAAACAGGAGCTTAAAGGGGTAGTCGCAGACACCTCACCCTGCAGCATCACAGGAATCCTTACAAGGAAAAAAACCTCAAAGCTGTTCACAACAGATTTGCATATTATAGACAAATCAACAGTGTCACAGAGTTGCAAAACTACAAGCCAAAAATTATGGGGCTCTGATTTAAATTAATAAGTGCTCAGAGGGAGAGCAAAGTGATTTTCATCTTGATTTGATTATTTACCACTTGAGTCCTTTCTTCGTCTGTGTTTGTTCACCACAAACATGCAGTCTTTGTTCTTTATTACAGACATTAGTTGAAACTAGAGCAGCGCATCCTCTTTTTCTCATATTCCTTCTGGCTCTGTGTAAATGTAGCACTAATAAAACATAACAATCTGTTTTGATGTTGGAAAATAATTCATTTTCAACCACAACCATCATTTGTTACCAATGAGATGATGACAAACTCTTTAGGTTGCTACTTTCTTTTGGTTCCATGGGAAGAAGAGCTCACACCTGCAGGTTTAATTCAACAGTCGTAAATCAGGTGAAAATACTGTCAAAACACCACTTATGATCTTCTTACTGATTTCAACTAAACACTTTTTATTTTTTATATCCCTTTATATTAGCAAACTGATAACAGAAAACAATATATAAAAATTGAAAAGAGAAGAGTAATTAAAGTTTAATTTCTGGAAAATTATTGAGATGTGAGAATGAGACCCTCCCTCACCCTCCATTTACTAAGACCTTTATAGAACATAGTACCAACTGGATAAAAACAATCTAGGGTCTGGAACCTTGGGCACCTGAGCCACACGAGGCCCTTTAACCTCTTTGCACCTCTTTTAACCCTCTTAAAAAGTCATGACTGGTACACTAGACCAGAATTATTAGTAGGCATCAGTTATCAAGGAGCTCTGATGTCAAACAAAAATAACAAAACATAAAGGCATTGTCCTCTTAACTCAAAGTAAGGTTTTGAAATTTTAGGCAGAGTGAGCAAGGGTCTGTTCTGGCCAGCACGGGTCGCATGGCTCAAGCTGTGGTCTTTATGGGGTCCACCACCATTCACAGAAGGGCTCTGATGCAGTGAAGATTCAGTCATCAGATATTCCTCAGTCGGCTGACTATCAGCAGGAGATCTTCCGCCCATCTGGAGGGAGAACCTTAGGCAGACACAAAACATGCTGATGTGATCAAATCTCCAACCTCATTTGAGGATGTTTAGACATTTTACTGGAGCGGTAGGTGGATGTAATTTGGAAAACGAATGATTATACAGTACCTCCAGCTAGTTTATTATTATTATTATTATTAATTTTGTGGACAAAGGCATATGGTTCCAGAGATTCCACATATGGAATTTTTGAACTGGGGGGAAACCATTACCACTATACAATAACCATAATAATCGTAACAGATTAACACGCTAATATACATATATTTATGTATATAGTTTATTTATATTTATGTATTTTATATGTTAAATCTATATGGGTGGCAAATACTTTCATATTTTCCTGCATATGTCTACACTTAAGTTTAACACTGAAAAAATTCTGACATTCATGTATGACTTGAACGCACCATTTGTTGTGACACACTACTCCTCTGTGATATGTTGGGAAGGTGGAGTAGTGGGGGCTGGATCTGTAGGGACAATCTAAGGCAGTCATGTCCTGCCTGGACAGAGTTGAATATCCTTATGCACAGACTGCAAATACTAGCTTCAAAGGAGACATGCAGTGCCCCATTTTCTGCCCCCACGGGAAGCTGTCTGACTGGACTGGGATTTCTAAATTTCTCTTGTTACTTCTGGCAAAGGATTACACGTGGAAAGAGTTAGTGTGACCTAGAAGCTTTGGGTTCTAGATTGAGATGGCGAACGTAGTCTTAACCTTTCCTGTCCTTATTATAAAAGTCATTTAAACACGTCTCTGCCACACAGCCATACTTATACCCCATGAAGGATATTGGTGACTTCTGAATTGCAATGTTGTTTTATTACTGTTCCCTTAAGGGAGAAAGCAAAGGTTGTTTGGCCGTGATGAGGAAATAAACAGAGAACAAAGAATAGGAAGTAGTTGTGTTTCTTGACTTTGTAATCCTGTCTAAGTTTGTAGCTGCCCACAGCCACAAAAGAGGATCTGGTATCAGTAAACCAACAACCACAGGTTATAAATAAAATAACTCAACAAAGAGGAAAATATGAACTCATGAGCGGTTGATCTAGCGTTTGTGGTTCATATAACCGTTAAAATATATTTGATATGTTTTCATATATTCCATCTGCCAATATTTTAGTTTGTATCCTATATGATACTTCTTTCATTTACTACACTTTATTTGTCTAGATCTCACTCCTTGCCCTGATTCCTCCACTGTTAGACTGAAGATGATAACCTTGTTGTTCATCATTATTACGAACATTTGCATTCTCCGAGTTTCTTCTTCCTGCTACCTGGGTTTTTTCTACAGTGGTTCCAAAACTCCTACAGCACAGCGTTTTGTAGGTAGGGCTATTGTCAAGTATCCTTTGACAGCCAATTCTTCTCTGAATATTGCATCACCTCTTCCCTATTGTAAATTGTAGAATTCTGTGATAAAAATGACTTACTGTAATCCATTGCACTTTAAGTTGTTTCAGTCTCCCTCAGGGAGAGGACGGTGATGTTGTGATACTTTACGACTATTTTTCCTATTGATTGACACCCAGGATTTTAGCTATAAAATTAGGGAGTAAAACAGAAGATTATTTAACCGTCGTACTATGTCGTACTGTACTGTTAACTATAGACACACAGGGCAGGAAAAATGTCTGTTTTCTTTTGTCTACTGCTGTATGGTGTCACTTTGAGTATATTTTGATTTTCCAAGTCAAACACCATGAATTGAGGGACTTTATGGAAGTGGCAAAAACAGTCAAAATGTTATCTTAGGCGTTTCTTTTGTGTTAACTAAAAACAATCCTAACATAACCATTTGTCAGAAAACAGCTAATTTTATGAACATTTTGGTTGGACCTGCCCATCTAAGGGAGTATAAGGTTATTTGGACCCAAACTTTAAAACAATAAAATACTTCTGAGGCTGATTTGGTTCCCAGGGTTCTGCAGTTGCCAAGCATTTCTATACATCCTCAGTCTGCTTTGTTTGATTCAGTGATTAATGTAAATTATCAGGAAAAATCACTGTCTCTCTATGCACTGGGGGCATTGATTGACAGGTTCTGTCATCCGCTAGAGTGACGTGGACATCAGAACTCTCCTTTTATGATCACCTAAGACATTAGCTTGCTTCTGTGGTGTCCATGAGAACTCACCAGTATCTGCTCCTCAAGATAGAAGCAGATGACTGAGAGCTTCCTGCTCCTCTGTATCTGTGTCACAACCTGATAATCATGACATTTACCGCCAGACATCACTTGATGCTTTATCTGGGATGAAGAGGTCCAAAATGGCTGAGCACCAATACGGTATCAATGTTCTAACATAGAAATGTGTGTGGGAGTGCATGGGAAGTGGACAGTCTCTGATAAGACCACAGAATGTGAAAAGGCAACTATTCTATTCAAATTAGAAGGTCAAACTTTACAAACACATTGGATCACAACTGCTCAAAAACATCTTTATTTGTCTTTTTTATAAGAATGGAAAAGTCATTTCACTTCAATCCAGGTTACTCATAAATATCTGGCAGTAAACAGACATATCTGGTCTTGTCATTATGTGTGGTCCATCACCTGGCTGCACTTTTCAGAAAACCCTCTGATGCTGAGTGTTGACTACAAGATTAGAGATGAGGTTATCACTAGCTCTCCACTGTCCATGTCACTCCAGGCAAAGTCCAGGGAGCTGCACTTCAGATGTGATTTTAGGCTGCAGTTCGGTAAGTCAGTTTTATCCACTGACACCTCAGAGTTTCAGCTAAAAAAAACGTACACAGAGAGTATCTTGTAATATTTTAAAAAACAATAATGAAAAAATCATCATCACTGTTAGGTTTGGTCATAACCCACAGTTTGTGAATGACACTAATCAACTGGCTAAGACAAATGGCCATCTAATCAGATCAGGAAATTTAGTATAGGTTTTTTAATAAATAGTGACTTACTTTAAAAAAAAAAAAAACTTTAAAAAGTAGACCACTGAGACAATTCCTAAACAAAGAGAGGAAAAAGGGTTACACAACAAAAAAAAAATTCTATTGCAGAACATAATTGTTACACATTATCTGCTAAAGACGCTTTTTGATGTTGTGTATGAAGTTTCTTTGGCCATGCAAAATTAGACAAAAAAATATAAACTTTTGAATTTCATTAGGGAAGTAAGGATTCAGTTCCAAATACTGTACTATGGCCACTCTAAAACCATTAAAGGTTCGAGCTTCTGAGTCAGGTAAAACTGAATTTACCCAAACAAAACACATAAACCAACAGAACTATAGTACAGAAAACATTGCACTGTTGGTCATGGTCTTTGAAACTGGAGCGACATTACGGACCTTTATGGAGCTTCCATGTTTTGGTAACATGAGTGCAGCTCATGACATTGTCTTCATCATGTTTTAAACTCTTTATGCAACTGGCATCCTACAGATATCAATTAAGGGAATTTATTTAAAATTTGTTTTAAAAATCAATGCAATTGTGACACATTCATAGGGCAGGATGAAATGTTAAGAGAAACAATGGATCATTTGATCATGTTAATGGTCCACACAATTAAACACAAGGACAAGTCTGGACACTAGTGGAGATCAACAGACACGTTGCGGGGCTGCACCTCACCCCTCCACCTATGCCTTTTCTCCCTCAGGTGCTACAGTGAGCCGTAAAAAGTCTTTGTTGTACATAGTCCAAATGTCCTGTTGTGCTTGCAGCATGATATATTTCATGTCTTCACTTGTGGTTTTACTCATACACTGCTACTGGAGAAAGAGTATGCTGAAAGCCATGATGATGCAGCAGCAGGCCACCCAGGGACTCTTCCTCTCTCCTACAGAGAAGAAAAACCTAAGATTCAAAGCCATCCCTTTAGGCAGAAATTCAATGGTATATTTAAAAAGAAAAAAAGGGCTTACCTATTCTGGCACATTTCCAGAAAATACCTAAAAGCCTGAAAGACAACAAACACCAGTAATTAAAAGCAAGGATTCACTGATAAAGGGGTGACAGTTTTGTAGATTTTCTATTCCAATTTGTACACTTTTCCTGATCTGCCTGTTTCAAGGGAAGCTGAATGGACCTTTTAAACCATGACATCAATTAATGGTGTCACTGTCAACCAAAATGCCCATTTTTTCTGAAATCTCATCAACTAAAAACTTTAATGTTTCGTTTGTGTTGCAACAAATCTAGAAAACAATGCTGTAGTGAAGAAAATAGTTATAATTTGACAACCATCTGTCTCAGAACTTTTTTAAAGACATTGTATAGGACTTAAATGTGACACATGAATTAGAGTTGGTGCTACATACCCAGTTTTGTTCTTGTCTAACAAGCTGGGAGCCAGAGCTCTGATGTAGGCACAGGTGCAGATCAGGAGCAAAATCACAGTAAGCAGTGACTGGAAGTTGAAAATAGCCGACTGCAAGTGAAAACAATACTTTAGTACGGGCATCACAACGTATGTGGTTTTTATGTGAAAGATGACAATGGCAGTGAATTGAAAAAATAGCGCTACAGCTCTTAGCTTTCTAATACTGCCTACTGCTATCTGTATGCACTAACAGTTTGTACAAGCCTAACAAATACAACAGCACACATTCTCCGTCTACGTGGCAACAGTAATATATACGAAGTTCGTAACCGTAAGAGTTACTAGTTGCAATGTTTCACTGAGCGAATCTTATCAATTAATCGTATTTACAATGCAACTGCAAATCAGGTTGTAAACAAAGCTCTAGCGTGACATTATTTAGAAAAATCTGTTGCTGAAACTCCCTGGGTGTTAGCTAAGGCTAGTGCCTTAGCATTTACCACACGTCTTCCATTTCTTAGCATATAAGATTTTTTCATATACGTTTTGCAAAGCAATCGTAGGAGCAGGGTACGTGTTTCGTTTGGTGTCCTAGAGAGACTTAAGGGAATTAAAATAATCGAAAACAGACTTACCATTTTGTTGTAAGTCAAAGCCACATCACACTTCTTACTCTCTGGAACTTACGTCATGCACGCACAGGAAGTGTAAGTGCGTAAATTCGCACTGTGCTCTTGCGACGTAAAACGTAGACTCCAGATTGGCTGAGAAGAGGGGTTGAAAGGTTAAACTCTGACGTTGATATATAGTCAAACACAAGCACTGACTTCCGGAATTGTTTCGGTTTGGAGCACGAAGTTTTAAGTCAACAAAATAACGTAAGTTTAACGAGAGAAATAATTTCGGTAAACGTGTCACCAACAATATACGTTCGGTGTGTCTCGTTCTCGGAAATTACGGTGTTTCCAGTATTTTGATGTACAGCTGCTTATGAATGTTATGCATATTATTTGCATCAAGGTGATGCGGAAGTGAAACAAGAAAATGTAATTGTAATTATAGTCTTTATTGTCATTGTAGCACGGGGATACAACGATTTTGAGCCTCTGCTTTTTTAACCCATCACCAAGGTGAGCAGTGAGCAGCTGATGCAGGAGTGAAACTGGAAAATGTATACGTACAACTTAACGGTCACTCTTATTAATTTAATTGTCAGCTCTCCTAGGTAAATTCATTTCTTTGTGCTGTCAAGTGTTTTATGTGAACATAAATTGAAGAAACAAAATTAATAAACCACACTGTGTAATTAAGGAAGACAATGTTGTTTTAGGAAAATACCCGATAAGCATGGCGAAAATACGGTTTGGGGGCCAGTCGTGGCACTTGGATGGGACTTATGTTCAACTTTGTCTTAATATAATTTTAAGACTCGTTTGTAATATCGATTTATTAGTATTATTAGTAGTATTAGTATTATTATTCGTGCAGTATTTTTCCACTATTATGAAATATAATGATAGATAGACAGACAGGCAGACAGACAGACAGACAGATAGATAGATAGATAGATAGATAGATAGATAGATAGATAGACAGATAGATAGATAGATAGATAGATAGATAGATAGATAGATAGACAGATAGATAGATAGACAGATAGACATATAGCACTTTATTAATCCCTTGGAAGTTCCCTTTGGGACATTTAGGAAGATGGCTCTTGCATATTTTTACAAGAATAAATCTGGCTCCTATTGAAAAAGGAAACAATACTCTTGCTCAATGTGCAGTTTACTTTACAACACAATTTATACCAAATTTTAGTGTTTACATTATTATATTATCTTTAAGGGTCTTCTGGTGTAGCCTTTTCACTAAATCCCTAGATGATTACAGAAACAACAATTACTTTTTTTAAGTACAGTATATGTTATATGTATGTTCTTAGGTTAGGGTCTTTTAAGAATATTTTTATTTTACAATATGATTTTTATTTTTTAAATGGGGAAAAAGACATTCAAACTGTATCTATTTCTCATTGAGTTTCAAAGTTGACATTTTTGTGGTCCACATTTCTTTTTTTCAAGTTTTCACAGTGAATTCTCCTCCCTCATCTTGAATGCATTTAAACCATGATTCATATCTCCCTTGACCCTTTCTTACAGTCTTGGAGCTCTTCATGTAAGATGTAATCAGTCTGACTGAAAACCACACATACTTAGATACTGTTTGCCATAAAAACTACATTAAGTTAAAAGAAATAGTTGACTGATAAGGCAAAATTGTTGAATGACAAGCCATGGCTCTAAAAGATAGATGAGTGTAAATGTTAGTTTAAACTTAATAAGAATTCTGAACTAAAAAAAAAAAAAAAACACTTCTGACATTATGTGCCTAAGGGTGGTGTTACATATGTATGAATTCAAAAACAGGTAAATGTATTTTAATAATCCATACATAAATAAATATATGTAGATTGGACTGTTGTTAGCTACCTTCACTTTGACACTTTTCTACCGAATACTACAAAACTCCAATAAACAACAGGAGTTACAGGAAAACACTGTAGCTCCTGCAAAACTGCTTTTCTCATTTAACAAAGATAAAACAATTTGCTCTGATTTAGCATTAACAGACTTCACAAGTTTCATGTTGTACCTCACAAGATAATGATTTATTGAATTTCTTCTAAAAACAAGATGACTGCAAAAATATCAATGAATCAATAAACTATAGTCCTCTGAAAACTGTATCCTAAATTTTCTATATATCTATATAATAATATAATTTTCAATATCTTTATTTATTTGTATTGATTCATAAAATTAGTTAGCCTGCTAAATCGGGCAACTTCCAGAGTAATATTTTGCAACTTGTATAATACTTATTTTGAAGTTCAGTTTCTGATGCATGCCGTAACTGTTTAATCACAAAACCTAGTTAAGTTAAATTTGTATTTTTTTTCTTGTTTATTGAATGTCTTATAATAGTATAAAGAGAAAAATAAAAACAGTTGATTCCTGGTTACCTTGTTTTACTCTGTCAAGGTTGATTAGAGCAGAGAACTGACCAAAGAGATATTCTTTTCATCTTAAATTGGAGAAAGCATGAGGTGAAAGCTGAGGGGAACAGAAAACCACAGGACTGGCCTAATTGTGCAGCCCCATTATGGAAGCATTTAACTGCCCTGACCTTTTTTTACCACTTGGTCAAAACTCAGTATGCATAATTGAAGGCTATTATCATGATTTAGTTTCTCTTTATCACCTGTTGGAGAATGAAAAGAAACAAAGCAGGCCGTAAAAATTTACACAGGGTGTGAGAAAAGAGGATGCAGATTGTGTGCATTAAACGCTGCAGGTGACCTTCAGTTTGTGATTTAAGATTTTACTGATTCTTGGGGCTGATCAATTAACCAAACAGATGCTAACAAGAGGAGTTTGAAGCCTGGGCCTAGCTCTCCATTCCTGACAGACAGCACTGTTTACTTAATTGGAATGTCCTTCTGTCGTTACCACGGGGTCATAGTCCCTGCAGAACAGATGTTCCAGTAACTAATGAGTAGCTGGGCTCACTGCATGGGGTCAAAGTTGAACTCCTGATTTAGCCATACCTCCTCATGGAGCGCACAGGGTCAAATTTAATGTGCACATACATAAACACTCTTGTGTGTCTGTCTGCCTGTGCGTGCATGTTTGTGAGAGGCGGACAAAGGTATACAAATAATTCTTCATGACATTCACTTAGTGCTCTGTCACCATATATGATGGTGGGAGCCTAGAAAGGATAACAGAAAACATGCTGTCAGGTGATAACTTACAGCTCAGTGTCTAAAGGCATTCATTTTCATTTTTCTGACAAGTCCAGCTTGGCTAACTAGCAATTTAGCTGGTTTCTTCTCTGCAACTCGACACACATTGCCCTGTATTTAAGCACGCACCGAGCCCAAGTCACCTCTCACTTCACGTGGAAGGAGTAATCGCATGTTCTGGCCTGAAATCCATAATCAAGTAAAAGTTTCTCAAAACCTTTGACAGGGAAAAGTGTTGTTGGCCCTTGACCAAGAGAGATGTTAATTGAGAAGTAATGGAACATACAGAAATTCTATTAACTGGTGCAGCAGTGTGTTGATTAACCAAAGTGTCAAAAACCATGCAATCTTTGCACAATTTCCCTTGTATTAAATAAAAAAAAAAATAGTCTGAAAGAAGCAATGTATGAGATATGTAAAAATGTGGCTTTTAATTCTTTATTACAGGGAAACAACCTGAGGTTTAGTTTTTTAATACCATTTCAAAAAGGAAAATACAGTTCAGATGTGTTGAATGTTATCCTGCTTATATGGTGTGGTATATCAACGCTTCCACAGTAAAAAAAAAGTGAAAAAAATAAAAAAGGTGTTTTATCTTTAACTCTGTGTAATTACTCTGGTGTCAGTCAGGGGACCTGCACTAAAAACTTGCCAAAGCTGATTAAAATCCACAGGGTCCCAGAGTCAGAGTGACCCACATTGAGGACACGCACAAGGTTGTATGGCACCAAATCCTAGCAATAAAAAAAAGAGTTACATTGATTTAGCTGAAAAATTAACAGTCTTGCAACATCAAACTGAACTGTTTGCCGGGCTGTTTTTCAGGGAGGGCCTGGCACTAAATGTTTACAGTTTCACTAGTAAACATCCTGAACACAGCAGGCTTTTTGAAATGTTCCATTTGATTTTCTGCAGGTCTAAAGGGGGTGAAACATGAGTGGAACAGTCCGCCAGATCACGATAAATACCGATCCAAGTACGCCCTACTTCTTGCGAGTAGACTGGGCCGTATATCTGGGTGCTGGATTTACACTGGTTCTCACTGATGGCTGCTCAGCGTGGGTTGGAGAAGGTAAACCCATTAAAATAACTAGAGACACAACTTTAGTTTGTCGTTGTTATGTCAAAACTAATTTTACTTCATGGTGATCATGTTAAACATCCATCTGTATTAATATTGGTCATACTAATACTGGTATACAAATATTACATGTCGAAAACATCCAACAATACTTACAGGAGGTTGTTTAAAGTTTGAATGTAAGAAAACATAATCATTATATAGTTTATTAAAATTATAATTTAATATTATATTATAATCATACAATTGGACCACAACATATTGACATCACATATTTTTGCCGACCCCAGAGACTGAAAAGAGTAGCCAGATTACTGCACAGAGTACTTGAAGGAACGCAAGTTCTGTCACTTTTTTCAATCAAGACACACTAGCTCAAACATATGCTGTTTTTTAAACTCGATTTATATTTATGAAAGTGAACAGATTCTTTTGTTTAAGATTGTGAGTAGTGTTCTTAATCATGATTTTAAATTGTATTGGTACACCACATCGGGTCATGGCCCCTAGGTTGAAAAACGCTGGTATAAACGAAAGGTTTTGTTTGTATCTTAACACTCGTTCTGATGACCCAAACAGTGTCTTGTCCTCACTGATGATCTGACGTAGCTGCCTCCCAGTGACAGTGTCTTTATTGGAACCCCTTGGGAAACAAGACTTGTCTTTATTGGCTTGGCTTTATTACTCTTTTGACCACAGACAAAGTCTTGGTTGTCACCTGACTGGCTGAACCTCATGTCATCTGGTAACAGTCTTCACTGCTGCTCCCATAACCAGAGGGACAGCAGTGGCCTTGTTTCACATCCTTCTCTTCTCTCCTGTTCTGCAGCTCACAGGTGTATAAAATAGATTAAATCCTACAGGGCTTTTCTTTGTACCTGTGAATGGAGGTTGAGTGTGTGCATGTGTGTGGGTCAACGCTTAAATATGCACCCAAGTGCATATTCTGTGGAAGGACACCTGGAACATAACTGCCCTCTGGTTTTCAATCGCTGTCCATCTGCAGAGCTGACAGCCAGAGATGGGGCTTCTGGGCTGTAAGTGTTCCGGTGTTTGATGTGTTAATTGGGACCCTCGCTCCTGAGCAGCTGGGAAACAGCTGATGACATTCTCTGCAGTTTCTCTGCATGCTTCTGCTCAAATGGGCTTTCACATGCACACACACACTGCTGAGTGATTAATGTTTATATATTCATTCTTTTCAGTTCAGCAGTTATTTCCCTGCTGCCTGTTTTGCTACAGGTTAATCGTAAATGGAATGAACAGGTTTTATGTACATTACCTGTCTGGGGTTTAAAAATAATGAACAACCTAGTTATACACTCACTTGGTTGAAAATGTTTTAAATGACACGGCTCCCAATACATAATTCCCTGTGGTGGATCAAAGTCTTCATATATGTAATTTTTTTTAACATTACCTTCCTTCTGATTAGGCTTTTATTGCAATTTTAGCACTAAGAAAACCTAAGCTAATGTATTTTTTTTTAAGATTCTAAAAATGATTGAACGTTTTAAAATATATAAATGATCAAAGCTGCAAAACTGAAAAGAGATGAAATCATTAAAAATAGACATTGAGCTCCTTGAAAGACGCCTCAATATAGATGTGGTTGAAATGTAACTAATTTTAAAAGTCTTAAAAGTTTCAAATTTTTAATTACACATTTTTCTAATACAAGTTGACCATAACTCGAGGATATCTAACAAAAAAAGTTTGACAAAAACATTTGCGTTCAGTTTCAGAAGATGATGTGACCAAAGAGGCCGAGGATTTGGGAATTACTAGAGAGAGGTATGTGAAGGATCTCCTGCAAGCACTAACAATAGGTGACGACGGAAGAGAAGGAGGCAACAAGGCTGTGTATTCATTTCAACTTGCCCCAGATCACTGCCAACTGTCGTATCAGAAGATCTGCAATGATGTCACGGTGGGTTAATACATTTATGACATTTATGGGATTTCAAGTTATTAGACTAGATTAACAGACAATGTTATTTAGCCTATTGCATTTGGCAGCACACTGAACTTTGGCTGCAGTGCAATGCATCACTATTGCTCAATATGAGTCAGGGGGGATAATGCACATACAGTATTTGGCAGATTACTTTCTGAAAGGATTGCCACATTTTTAACTTGCAAAAGCTGTCACAGATAATATAAACACCCTGCTATTTTCAGTTATGTTTTTACTCAGTATTAGCTTTTCTAAAAAAAAAAGAAAAAAAAAGGGACCATAAATATGACAATTTTAAGCCATTAAGCTGTGGAAAGACTGCAAACATGCAGTTTCCTCCTTGTGGCACTTTAAAATAAATCACCTGGGTTTTTTTCTTTTTTTCCCGAAGGGCCACTCAGCTAGTCATGCCATTCAATTATTTTCTTGGTAAATTATTAGCAATATGAGACACCTAACAACAATAGAGTAGTAAAACACCTTATAGCGTCAATACAGACACAGGGTGTATACTGGAAAGGTTAATGTTGTAGAATCTGCACATCACACACAAACCTCGTCTCACTGTTCCCTGAGGATAAATGCAAGTAATGACATCCAACAAAATAGAAAGGAAGTGTTATGTTTTACAACGGGCTGTTAAAAAAGATAAGGTTTATAATCCTCAAATGTTATGACAAAATTGGAAAGGACGCCTCGTCGCCCTCAGGCCTCTTTAGGAAAATGGTAAAGATAGGAATCATTCGCTTTATTGACAGGGATAGTTGTCTAATGGCTGCCGTTTGCATGCTGTATGTGCAGATGGTGGAGATGGCCAGTCACTTTCCCACGTGAAGCCACATCTCTGGTTAAAATGCACTCTCTAGTCACTGCCTGAAGAGCAACAGGTGTGTGCGGTGTAATAAGGTGGCTGTCAGGTTTGATGGACTCCAGGTCATCTGTAAAATTAATGGATTTTGGTATATTTAACCTGGAAAATGAAAGAATACTGTTGTATATAGGAGACCACTGGACTCTTTGTCCTGAGACTTCTGTGCAGACAGGGGATACCAGAGGGAAGGAGGTGGTGGAGATGATCCATGGAGATCATAAAACCTGATTTATGGACCAGGCCGTTCACATCTAACAATGTTGAACAATGGCTAATGTCAAGGCATTTTCTCCCCCTGCAGTTCCCCCCTGGCAGAGTGTGGACAAGTGTTCCTGCAGAATGTGTGCATTTGTCTGTGTCCGGACATGCATGGACATCTGTTGGTTTTAGACAAAGATGTCAAGCTGTCAGCTTTTGAGTGCTGCTATTAAAAACAAACTTAGTTTTCTTTTTCATGTGATTCTATAGCTAATGTTTGTGCTGTTTCATTTCCTCTTAATACATTCAATGTTAGAAATTCGCACTTTAGGATCAGAGAGTCTTGTAATGTAATGTAATCCATTTGAGATTTTGTAAGTGAAGTCATACACAATAGTAATGAGGAGAGTTTTCTTAGTAAGCATGTTTTTTGAGCTCTAACAATGAACAACATGCCTTTTATCTTAATGACAATATCCTTGGCTTTGACTGTGTTTTTGAGTGCTAAGAATTCAAATTCACAACTGTTTTCATAGCCATTAAGTCAATCTAACTGAAATTTTCTAACTTTGGTGAAGCTTAGAGTTTAAGATATTAGTTTAGGAATACATTTTATAATTAGTTTATGCCAAAAACAACAACAACAACAACAAAAAAAAAAAAACAAACAAAAAACACCAGAAGTTTTAAATAGATGTATTCTGCACCATTATTACTTGCAATCCACACAGCAGTCAGCATTGTGTGGGCTATGTGAGTGGTAGACGCAAATCAAAGAATCCTGCACCAAGGACTATTTGCATTGAGTGCAAACTACTGCTCCGGTCAACACCTGCTTCTTCACATCTCTCTTTTTTTTATTATTCCCCTTCCCATTGCCCTGCCTCACTTGCCTTGTGCAGTACACGCCAGAGGTTAAAAAAGTGGAACATATTTTCCCAGCTGGATAATTTGAGGGTGCAGAAATGAGGAAAAATGAGGCAGGTTTCCTTTGGGAGTAGAAGAAAGACAGGCTGTAGACAAAACAGGTGGTGAACTTAACCTGACATTAATATTTTATGAACGCAACCCTAAGAGTTGTAATGATGGATGTAATTTTGGTGCTAGGAGTTAAACTAGTTTTTAGCAGATGTTTAACATGTCTCACTAAGACATTATCTCCTCCTTAATGTCTTTTTAAGTAAAGCACTGATCTGTCTTTGTGGGGGGAAAAAACTGACATTTTACTGTGAGGATAAACATTAAACTTATGGGTTTTTTTCAATTGCCATATAGTTTTTTTGTTATTAAACACTATTTAATATAACCTAGTGACTGCAACAATACTTTTATTTAATTGATTGATTATATTATTGATTGATTGCTTTTGGTTAAAACAATAGTGTTGATCAGTTTTATTAGATGTGACAAATGGACACAGCCACTCAAATGTGACTCAGATGTTTGTGATTATCTTTAAAAGAAGTCACTGGAGACTCAATCGCAGCTCAGTTCTCAGTTCAGACCAGCTTCTGTCCTGGGAAACTGGGACGCTCATTCTTGGTAGTTGTGGTATTCAAACCCACAGGATTGGATGAGTCTCTAGATGAGACTGTGTGGGTGAGGGTTTTATGATCAGCAAATAGAACTTGTTATAGTTCACTGGAGGATGCCTGTGCTGGAGCCAGGAATTTTTGAATAAATCACTTAAAAAGTGTGAAATCTGTTCGTATGAGTGTGTTTGTTCATTCACATCCTGAAGATGTCAACCCTGTTTACAAATACTGTAAATCATAAACTTATCTGCAGAAGCCTTGGGGCTATTGGTGAAGCTTGATTTATAGATTATTACAGATTATTGGAACCGACATAATGGTCCATTGCTGAGACCTATTCCTACTACCGAATTGATAAAGAAACATTTTTACATAATTCTTCATTGGTTTGGCTACCCTGTTTTAAAAAACACTTGTTTTTTTTTTTAATTTTAACCAAATACCTTTCAAAATTGTTTCTCAGAACAAGGTGACAAATAGATAAGATTTACCAATATTCTACAAAGAATACACGCATCCTGGGAGATCTGTCTACAAAAGTCTAAGGTTGAAACTGTTGCTAAATGTGCTAATGTGCTATTGCATGTAAAACCACCATACTGAAATAGTCTTGGTGCTTTATTTAAAACTTCAGGTTGTTGATCAAAGATTGTATCCTGGAAACAAACAGCTGTGCCTCAATTTGGTGCTGAAATACTGTGAGGATGGACTTAGCTCATCTCAGCTGAACTGTAAGACAATGGAAACATGGTTTAAATCAAAGGAAAAGGGAAATTCTTAATGCTCTTTTGCAAAATTATCTAAAGAGTACAGGCACATAACCTGAAGCTGCCTAGCAAATCTACCTAGCAATACCTTGCAAAAGTACACTTAATTTGCCCAGCCCTGCTGTGATTGACAGCTGACTCATGAAGTGTAGACCTTATTCCCAGGTTGAAATCATCATCATGCTCTTTAAAAATAAGCCATTTATTGATATTTGTGGACACAATTGTGGAATTTTTTTTTTGTATCTTCTACTTTGACTCCAACTACCTGCATGTCCTCGCTCACTGCATCCATATATCTCCTCTTTGGCCTTCCTCTTAGTCTCCTACCTGGTAGCTCCATCTCTAACATTCTTATACCAATGTGTCCACTGTCACAGAGGAGGCTCTGCACATGTCCAGACCATCTCAATCTGGCTTCTCTAGCTTTTTCTCCAAACCTTCCTGTCTGTGTTGTCCCTCTAATGACCTCATTCCTGATCCTGTCCATCCTTGTCACTCCTAAAGAGAATCTTAGCATCTTTAACTCTGCCACCTCCAGCTCCTCCTCCTGTCTTCTGCCTATTGCTACCGTCTCTAAACCATACATCATGGCTGGTCTTACCACCGTCCTGTAAACCTTTCCCTTCACCTTAGCTGACACTCTTCTATCACAGATCACTCCTGACACTTTTCTCCAGCTGTTCCATCCTGCCTATACTCCATTCTTCACCTCTTTTCCACAGTCTCCTCTGCTCTGAACAGTTGATCCTAAGTACCTAAACTCCTGCACCTTCACCACCT